AAAGAGCACTTTTAAGTAAACAAGGCAATAATAGATGGCACTCGTGGAGGTAGGAAAACAAAAGTTCTTTATGAACTGCAGGATTGCTTGTAATAAAGATTTCAATGCAAAAGGAAAGGCAGTAGAGCTGACTATTTCTGTCAATGGTAAGTTTGTGATAACGTAAGAAAAGCAGTTTAAATGTTTTGCCACTTGCTTGAGCAACTTAATATATAAATCTAGATGTAAATGCAAAAGTAAAGAGCATCGAATGATGTGTTGCATATATTTATTGTGTTTAGACATGTCTGTGAAAGATTGTATTGTACCGTGTAAAAAAAATAATCACAATGCTGAAAAAGCATTTTCAGTGACAATGTTTGGATTTGAAATCAAAATAATGGATAAATGTTGTGTTTGTGGTAAACAGCCATGGATCAGTAGCGGACTTTTCTGTGAAAGCACAGTCCGTGCTGCTTCCCCTCTCACAAGATTCACCTTGGAGGGGAATTCCCCCCATTTTCAAAAATGAAATTCAGGCCTTGAATAAATGTCTAAAAATCCTGATTTGAGTATCACTATATATAGCTATAAATGATAAAAAGAAGGCTTTAAAAAGATCGGTATCGGTGATCGGCCTCAAAAATCCTGATCGGAGCACCCCTATTAAATAACCCACCGAGTGATAATTAAAAAAAAAAAAAAATGAAAGTGTTTAACAGTTGATGCAACATTGAAATGTTGAGAAAACACTTCCTAAAATTTAAATAGTTTCTGTAAATCTGTGGCATCTCAATTTTCTGTGTAATTATAGTTTCATCAGTTGATGCAATGTTGAAATACTGAGAAAACACTTAAAATGAGTAATAATTAAAATGAATAAATTCTCAATTTATAATAATAATTTGTTATTGTGTGGATAATATTTAATCAATAAAAAAGTAACTGTAGTCTGATTACAAGCAGTTTGCAATGTAATATACAGTCAGGCCCATATATATTTGGACACGACACATTTTTTTAAATTATTTTTAGTTGTTGACCAAAACATATTCAAGTTACAGTTATATAACTGGCTCTGAGCTTTAACTTCAGGGTATTCTCATCACAATTGGAGGAAAGGTGAAGGAATTATAGCTCTTTATACTGATATATATTTGGACACGACACATTTTTTTTTATTATTTTTAGTTGTTGACCAAAACATTCAAGTTACAGTTATATAACTTGGGCTCTGAGCTTTAACTTCAGGGTATTCTCATCACAATTGGAGGAAAGGTGAAGGAATTATAGCTCTTTATACTGTACCTCCCCCCTTTTTCAAGGGACTATAAGTAATTGGACAGTTGACTCAAAAGCCATTTCATGGACAGATGTGTGCTATTCCTTCTAAGGCTGCACGATTTAGGAAAATGCTCATATTGCGGTTATTGAGGTCAATATTGCGATATGCGATTATAATAAATGGTATCATGAGTCAACTTGATGGGTTTTTAAGGAAAATGCACACACAGATTAGTGATAATGCTAAAATGTGTATTTGTAAAACTAGAAATATTTTCAAAATAAACAATTTTTACAAAATGAAATAACATTTGCATTAATGTAAACTTATTTTCTCAAAAGTATAGCTAAATTAAATAAAGCCATACACATTTTCACAAAAATAAGATATTTTAAATATTTTGTCCAAACAAACAGGGACATTTACGCAGGATGTAACATATACTCTGTATAAACTCTTTTTGAAAAGGAAACTGGATATAAAATTGTGGTTCACTCAAACTCAAAACACTAAATCTTTTTTTTTTTTTATGACCAACTGGTACTTCCAAAACCTCTTTCAAAGAAGTTAAACTTATCACATTAGAGGTTTTTTGCCAAAAAGACAAGCATATCCACTTTCTCTGGTTAAAATATTTTGTCCAAACAAACAGGGACATTTACGCAGGATGTAACATATACTCTGTATAAACTCTTTTTGAAAAGGAAACTGGATATAAAATTGTGGTTCACTCAAACTCAAAACACTAAATCTTTTTTTTTTTTTTATGACCAACTGGTACTTCCAAAACCTCTTTCAAAGAAGTTAAACTTATCACATTAGAGGTTTTTTGCCAAAAAGACAAGCATATCCACTTTCTCTGGTTTCAGAGAGGAGCGATGATTCGACACAACATCACCACTAGTGCTAAAAGCGCTCTCTGATACAGAGCTTGTTGCTTGTATGCCCAGATATTTCTGTACTAGTTTGCATAGCCTAGGGAAGCTTACTTTGTGGAACTTCCACCATTTCAGTGGATCTTCTCCATGGTCTACACATGGCATGTAAATGTAAGCATCAAGTTCAGCGGCCACGGTTTCTCTAAACTGTGCCATGGAATCAAATGTGGATGACAGTGATGCTCTTGGTGCTGTGCATGTGGTTTCCTTGAAGAAACTGGCCAGAGTTTTCTTCTTGGCTTTAGCAGCAGGTGGACTTTCCACATCCATGCTATCATTCTCCGTCACTGCAGTGCTTTGGGCTACAGACGGCTGGTGGTGAATTTCCTGAAACAAATAAACAATGCACATGTTTTAGAAATTTGTTACACTTAATTCTTATCAGTTAAGTAAACTCTGTGGTTTCACTCACTATCAACTCAGAGATGGCTCGTTCCTTTAAGGTCTGGGTCTCTTCTTCAGAGATGTATTGTGTTCGGAACCTTGGGTCTAGGAAAGTGGTGAAGTTTAGCAAGTCCTGCGTGCCTTCATATTTGTTGTTGAGGTAGCTAAGAATTTTTGATTTCAGTGATTTGGTCAAGTCCGTGTCTGCTTCGTCTTCAGCCAGCACTGAGGTGTTCAGAAGATGCAGAGCAGGTTTCACACAAGATATGCTCACATAACGTTCACCCGATAAGGCATCCGTAAAGTCCTGGAGTGGGCTTAGTGCCTTGTTTACAGATTCCAAGACCTCCAGGTCCTGCCATGAAGGGAGTAGGTGTCG